CGCCCCCGAAAGGCCCCACGGCCCCACAGCCCCCACAGCCCCACGTCCCTTCTGTTTGTCTGTTCCTTTCCTAGACTAAACGGGCCCCGAATACCTTCCCCTTTATCCACGGGGCGGCGGTTCCCGCGGTGCCTGGAGCCGCGCTGGCTGTCCCCGCGGCCGCTAACTGCCCTGCGTTTAAACCTGCTCCTTTAATTCCTGCGGATGAGGAACTCAGGGTGCTATTTATTTATTTTAAATTTGACTTTACGTCATACTTCTGTCCGTGATAAGTGAAATGGTACGAAATCCCGTGTGCTGCTCCAGAGCTGCCCTAGCTCCTGGTGGTGTTGGGAAAGGCCGAACAGTGCACGTTATGGCATTTTACTGATGTAAATAGCTACAGCTCTGGCTGTGCTGGGGAAATGAGTCTCTTCAGGAGAAGGGCTGTGCTCGCATGTGTGTTTTGTGTGGGTTTGCTGTTTGTAGAGGGAGGTGTTATCAGCGTTTAACTGTTGTGCACGTCTGAAATTTTGAAAGCCTGTTGTGTAATTCCTAGCAGTTAAGTGTGCATCAGGTGATGCCTGAAGGAGTTGATCTTGCAGTCACGAGTAGTTTGGGTTTTCCAGCAAGTTCACTAGTTGCAAGACTGGGTTTTGGGATGGTCAGAATTGGAGTACAAGCCTGGTGGCGTGAGGCACTCAGAAATGTGGAATTCTAATGCTGCCTAACGGGCTCGTTACCTTCTTGTCACATGCAAGGTGCAGTGCAAAGGGAAATTGAAGCTGTAAGCTGTCCCATTTAGAAACAAGACTTAAATGTGTGGCTGGCATAAGTCTGTTTTCTAATTGTGTTCTTTTTCCAGCCATACTCTTTGGCTTGTTTGGGTGGGTTTTTTTCCTTTTCTTTTTTTTTCTTTTTGTTTGTTCCTGGACAAAATAAAGGCAGGCATGCTGAACTTGCCAGCAAGCTTGGGGAAATCCACAGGGAAAGCAGCACTGTCTCAGCAGGCCTACTGGCTCAGGGAGTCCGGTGTCCTTGAGTCATCTCATGACTGGGGTGTTTGTGCCGTTCAGTAGCCCTGGGCAACTGAGTGTGTTAGACTGTCAGGCTAACTGGGCAAGATCTGGACAAGCTGTGTATGCCAGTTTGTTTTGGTAACAGGCATACAGGAACCTTGTTTAAAGTGAAATACACTACTGACTCTGAAGGAAAATTGGGAAAGGAAGACTTGTCAGAAAGTGTGATAAGGAAGCAGATTCAGGTTTTAGGTGTAATAGGAATGAAATGGAAGCAGTGATCCTAGCTAGGTCCATAGACCTCTTTATCTAAATTAGCATAGAGGAATTAATTTTTTTCTGATACTGACAATATTCTAGAATAAAAAGAACTTCATCTGGGGACCTCTTACTACAGATTAGCAAGAATAAACTGGTCATCCCTATGTAAACAGATTGTTAGGAGAATGTTTTTGAGGCAGATCTCAAACTATCCTTTACCAGCATCTCTGTGTCTCTGATTTTGTGAGTATGTTACCCTTTGTAATCTGCATCATTTCCACTGCTTCACTGTCAGTAGTGTGTACAACCTGACTTGCATTCCTGAGTCTTAAGTCCTGGAGTCCTCTTTCTGCAAACGTGCACCTCAGCACCCTTATGAACTTGTATACTCCAAGTGTTGCGGTGTCTGGACCACAGAATCTGTCTTTGAGGGGGTGCTGGGCACTTAAATTCTTCCACTCAGGCCCTTAGGAAGCCATGAGACAATTATTCCAGCCCCAAAGCTGTGCTTGTCATTCTGTGTACTTCTCTTTCCCAACACAGGCGCTTTGATTACCGTCCAAAAACCGATCCTTACTGCCAAGCTCGTTACACCTTCTGTCCCACTGGCTCTGCCATTCCAGTTATGAAAGATGTGGATGTCATTGAAGTGTATCGATTACAGGCTCCAGTATGGGAATTCAAGTATGGGGACCTACTAGGACATTTGGTAGGTGATGTCTTTAACAAAGTTATAGCAGCAAATTCAGCTGAATTCAACAGCAGGTGCTGAGAATGAGAGCTGTAAGGTTGGGATATGCTTGTATGGAAGAGTATTAGAGCACACAAACTAAGCTGTCTATAGGGAAGATACTCAAAGAGTACTAAGCTTCAAACAAAACTTATAGGATTTATCTCAGGTAAAGAAAAGAGCATGAACCCACTGTTGGAGGGTTTGAATGTGTTCCCCCATGGAGCTGCATATTGAGATTGTTTTGTATATGCACACCATTACATTTTGGGTGTCTTTTCTTCTGTGCTAGAATTACAACAAGAAAATATATTTATTTGTCCCTTTATATCAGATTGTAATGATTGCATTATTAACATTTCTGTTGTTACAAACATATATTTGTTTGAAGATTGATACCTGTCAGAAGTGGACAGCCAGCTGGTCAGAATGGTGGATCATGGAGAGTTGGTTGCTTTTACAGTTCTCTCTTGAATGTTATGATCAGTTTGGAATTGAGGTTTCCATTCATGAAATTATGCAAATATGAAAGAATCTCCACTTCTGTAATATTTATATCTGTCGCAGGAGCAAAATTAAGCTTCAAAGCATGATTTGTAATGAATAAAGAAATACCAGTGAATGTGATATAGCAACATCAATATAAAGCACACAGTCAAAAATGGAAATAGATTCAAATATCATTATCTCAGTTGTTAGCTATGATTGGATTTATGTAATTATTATGCAGCTTTTAAAAGGAATATTTATGTCGTTCCTTACGTGGCTTTCATTACCAAGGTCTGGTTTTGGTAACTCAGTTCTGCTCTTTATTTCTCTGATAACCCCCTGAGGTTAAGGATTCAAAAGTCAGCTTGAATTTTGATGATGAGCTCCCACTGAGTATCTGCCTCCAAGTAACAGAACTTAGGATGGATGGATGGACAACCACTGAGACAGTGTGATGCTGGTGAAAGTATGTGTGTGATACAATCTAGTGTGTTCTGCATCAGTGCTGCTGAATCCACCATGTTATAGGAACTCCTTCTGCTCTTCTCACCCTGTTACAGAACAGCTCCCAAGGGTCTTATCTTCTGTACAGGTCAAGCTGAGGTCGTTATGATGTTAAAACTTTGGTGATTTGTTTTTTTCTTTTCCAGAAAATTATGCATGATGCTGTGGGTTTCAAGAGTTCCCTAACGGGCAAAAACTACACAATGGAGTGGTATGAGCTCTTCCAACTTGGGAACTGCACATTTCCACACTTGCGGCCTGGCATGGATGCTCCATTCTGGTGTAACCAGGGAGCTGCCTGCTTCTATGAAGGAATAGATGATGCACACTGGAAGGAAAATGGAACTTTAGTTCTCATGACCACAATATCAGGTAGGTTTTAGATGCTTTGGATAACGTTAATACAAAATAGAGAGTTATCCTTGTCCTTAGGTAAAGCAGTGTCTTTTAATTTATGTTCTGTAAGCTCTTTGCACTGTTAGTTGCTGATGCCAATTTTAAACACTCTCTTTACTACAGAAAGTGGTATGAGGCTGCTGCCTTTTGAACCATGCACACTGAAGAGTTGGTAAACGTTGTCATTTGGTGTTGCTGTACAAAAATACTTGAGTCTCTTGAGTGTAAAAATAGCAAAACAGCTTATACAGAGCCATTATGGACTCTTTTCACATGGCTTCACCAAACGAAGCCTTCTGTTATGAAGTGGCAGATGACTGCTGAGATAGGAAGAACTGGTGAAAATGTGTTCATTACTGAACAAACAAATCAGACATCTTTAGAAATAGTCTCGAAGATCTAACAAGTGCTAATCTATATTTCTGTCTCCCCCATTAAGTGTCCTAAAAACCGGGCAAATGTCCCCAGTAATAGGTCTCTGTCATACGTTGTAGAACAAAACCAGGATTTACACCTCTAGACACATGGATACCAGAATACCTTCCTGGTATATACTGAACACTGCAATCCTAAAATAAAAAGGTCATTTAAATAAATCTGATTGCTGTAGCAATAGCATGAATGACTTAAAATGAAAGTTCACTGAGGACTTGAAGAGTTGCATTTTGTGTGACCAAAACCACTAACTCTCCAGAGTTAGTGTAGTGTGTAGTGCTGTTAAGAAATTCTAGGCAGTTCTTTAAGCAGTGAAGTAAAGCAGAGCAGCTTTCCTGTGAGTTTGTAGTTCATGACTGAGGTCTCTGATGCCTGATATGGTTGGATTCTTTTGTATGAATAGCAGGTTAAATATTTTCATACAGCTGCAGAACTCATAATGCTTCCTGCCTGTGTGCATTATTTGATGCCTAAGAAAGGTGAGGTTATGCTGGTGCCTTGTGGATAGCATTTGTGGCCTTGTTAGCATCTCTGAGAATTTTTCATTGTCTGAATTTGACTAGTAATCCAAAAGTTACTGTGGAAGGGGGTGAGTGGATGCAAGCACAGATGGACAGCATCATGAGCTGAACTTGCTTCCTTCAGAGAGCAGGCAAAAAGCATTCCCATCCCATGGGAGAGGACTTTAATGTACAAAATGGCTGGATCCTCTTAGCCCTTGTGAGATTCTGTGGAGCTGTTTATCGTCGCTGTCAGACACCACAGTGAAGCCATTTCATTTTCTTTTAAAGCCCATCAGACAGGTTAATGTTAATTAAAAGTATGTTTCTCCTGAGGAAATAGGGCAGAAATGTCCAGAGTCTGATTTTTTGAATATCTGGGTATCTTCCTACAGATTAACATGGAGCCATGCATTAGCCCATAATACTTCTGTTTAATTTAAGATGTTAAGGCCAGAACTTCATGTTATTTTCATCTTGGTCTTGTTAGGAGAGACAAATCCTTTTCACTAACATGCCTTACAGAATATGCATTCTGTCTTCTCTGATTCCTACACAAGAGCTTCCTACAAAGGGAAGCTTCAAACCCATCTACAGTTCTTGATACAGATTTAATGACTTGCTGTTTTATTAAACCAAGTCACAGGGAAATAAAGTACCTAACAAACACTTCCACCAAAGAGAGTGATTGTTACGTTTACCATGCAGCCCAGAAGAGTGAACATCAATTATACTGAGGTAGCCTAAGGTGTGAATGTGCAGAGCTTTAGTTACTCAGAGGCAGTAGCTTGCACATGTGCCTTACCTTAGGGTAACTGAGGTGTGTTACCTGTGTGTTCTCTGACAAAGAGCAGACCTAGCAACCTGACCTTTGCAGCTTGCTTTGGAGGGAGATGATGTGGCATGCAGTGTTCATCACTGGTCTTGACAAGTGCAGTGAATTCAGACTTAATGCAGGGGGCTGGTGGCTGTGTGCAGGGCAGTGTTAGTGACACAGATCTGTCCCATGGCTGCCACCCCTGAACTGTGAGGTAGCTGTTGCCATTCTCTTTGCTTGCAACAGTCTCACCTGTGTTCAGGGCTGCCAAGCACAGTTACTGTACCCACAGCCGTAACACTTGCAGCTAAAGAGAGATGCTGTCTTGGAACACTGTTACACTTGCAAGTTGTCTGAGCATCGTCTAGCCTTGTGCACAAGAAGAACCTGCAAAACTTGGTCGTGCTGGACGGAGCTGAGTCATAGATGGTTGTACCCTGTGCCATGACTGAGGAAAGAAAGGGCAGGAAGGGCTAGGCTGAGGGGCAGTGCTAGGACCACAGGAGAAACAAGAAGGAAAATTGCTGGCATACTTTAGCTTTGATTTGAGGAGGCAGAAATGGCACCCAAAGGGAGCTACCAGAGAGGTGAGCTGAGTTAGAGATGTCTTCATCATTCCAGTTGTGAAATCACCATCACCTAAATACTCCAAATGTGTTCTAAATTAAAAAATAATCCTCAAGTTCTTCAAGTTTACTGGTCTTCACATCCCACTCACAATTTGGCTCAATTCAGCTTTGCTGCTGAGGAGAAGCTGAAACAGCAGGGTGTCTTTGGTCTGAGGTTTCTTTTGTGAAGAGACATTGAAATCTGTGCCCTGAATTGCTGAATTTAGTTGAAACTTGAGGAAGTGCAGAAGTGCCTGTTGCTCTGGTGCGCACTTTGTCAGCATCTCTTGTAGCCTCTACTAACAGCCCTATTTGCATGGATGAAGCAAAATGACAAGTGTCATGGCTCTCTGATGTTTGGATGTCCTGGCATAGTAGCAGGAAAAGGGTCAGAAAAAGGAATTAATTTAAATAACTTGCATGTAAATGTAGTTTATTCAGTGGGGTATCACTTCTCCCTCCAACAGAAGCCTTGTGTCTTTGTGTGGTTAGGTAATGTAGGTAAAGTTTTTTCAGGGGAGGGAGTTGAGCTTTGAAACAGATGGAAAACATTTTGAGTCATGTGTTTGTTACCTTGTCGCTGTAATACTTGTTCTCATCTCTTACAGGAAGGATGTTTAATGAAATGGCACAATGGGTAAAATATGACAATGAGACTGGTATCTACTATGAGACCTGGACAGTTCAAGCAAGTCCTGACAAACAATCAACAGTGTGGTTTGACTCTTATGAGTGCTCTAAGTTTATACTGAGAGTGTACCAGAAGTTGGCTGACTTGGGAGCTGTATTTAAGAAGATACAAACAAACTATACAAGCATAATTTTATTCAGTGGAGAACCTATTTATTTGGGAAATGAAACATCTATTTTTGGACCACTAGGAAACAAGACATTGGCAGCAGCTATAAGAGACTTTTACAATCCATTCAAACCTCATCAGTCAGTGAGAGAGTTTTTTGTGGATCTTGTAAAAATAATTGATCGTGTCATCTTGAATCATCAGTTTTACCTCTACTACAACTTGGAATACTGGTTTTTACCTATGAAGTTCCCCTATCTCAAAATAATTTATGAAGAGATCCCTTTACCTGTTGGAAGCAAATCATCCTTTGGCGTATAACTGCTTACTGAAGAACCAAACTCGCCCTTAAATCAGAATATTCTTAAGGAATTTGGAGCTCCGCTGCACTGGTGTTAAAGGGTTGTATGTTTCACTGCTAGCTGTAAAGGTGTTGGGAAGGCTTTGCTAGACCACATGGAAGATTATGCTTTTTATTTCTTAATACCTGTATAACACATTCATGAACATGTCAGCATCTCTGACTTGGCTAGCTTCTGTGCAGCCCTGGCCAAGGGCTGCTGTGGCTCCTCTGGCTGAGCTCTGCAGTGACAGAGGGGGAATGGGGTGGTCTCAGGTGCTCTCCACATGCATGGCCGTGAGCAGCAGACAGCACCTGGCCACCAGCAGAGGTGGGACACAAGCATTACAAGGACTAACTTGGCTCATCAATATGTTGGAGCTAACAAACCTGTTTTGATGTGCCCAGGTCCTTCAATGTGTGCCTTAGATTGGCGTTTCTGTAGTTCTTCTGTTTGTGCAGCTGGGAGCTATGAACTGCAGGGTGGGAAGGGGCAGTGAAGTTACTAGAAGATGGCATGGGTGGTATCTTGGCACCACGTTGCTTCCTTCACCTGCACCTGTATTGTAAACACAATACAGGTGGCTAGGCCAAAGACTGTGTGTGTTCTGTAGCACAGATGAAAGTCAAACTGCCTGTTTCGATGTTAACTTCAATGCTTAACTGCAGTGTTCTAGCTGTCTCCTGTCTTTTTCTTCAAGAAATGACTGGATGTGGCACTTATGTCTCTGGTCTAGTTGACAATCAGTCAGAGGTTGGACTTTATGATCTTGGAGGTCTTCTCCAGCCTAGTTGATTCTATGATTCTGTAAAGTCTACTTGAAGCTTCGGCTGGAAGCAGCAAAACTGGTAGGCTACATCATTAAAGATCCTGCCTTAGTAATGATTAAATCAGGTTTTGAGATTGAGGCTGCCTGATTGCCAGTTCATTTGCTCAGACCTGGATTGTACAGTTGAGTATCTTTACTTCAGTCTGGATTGTGCAGTTCATTATCTGTTGTACAGTCTTGTACAGATGTAAGATAAAGTACAATACACAGAATTACAACAGCCTTTCTTACTCATGTAGCACACCATGATGGCTGATCTTGATCATCCTAAAATGGGAAACTACAAGCTTTCTGTCGTGCTGCAAGACTGGAAAGAACAGAGGTGTTCCTCTCAAAGGTCCAAAGCCACCCCAGTTCCTCAGCACTGTTTGAGGAAATGCCACCTCACAAAAGCACAGGTGGGAGACAGAGCAGAAAGCACACAGATGACACCAGCAGCAGTGGATGCAATCCTACAAGAAAAACCTAACAAAATGGATGGATGGATGAACATGCAGAACATCTAAGGTTAATTGTGGTTTCTCTGTCCTGGTTTTGATGCTATTAAACTTCAATCATATTTCCAAGGAACTTGTTCCTACAGCATCTGTATTTCAGGAAAATTAATTTAGCGTTTGTAGTCTGAGCTACTGACACTGCAGTTCTGAGTCCCTTTAAGATTTCACAAACTTCCTCATTACATCAGTGCTCCAGTTTTAGATGCAGAAGCAGCACTGATTTTCACCATTCCACACCCGACCAACTGGACAGGCCAGAGCTGAAGACAGATCTCTGAAGCAAGGTCACAGTTCAGGTTGTGTATCTGGAGTAGGTCTGACTAGAGAGGCCCAGTTGAACTCTGCTTTAAATTCACAGGAAATTAATTTGGCCAGATCAAAATTTTAACAACTGGAATAGATGTAGCTAATTTATGTCTATGAAGTTAGTTCAGTTTGCATAGTATTGGTGAACATTTTCAACTAAAAAACCAGAGGATTCCCTAAACCCCCACTTACATTCACAAGCTTATAGCTTTAGGTAAATAGCAGGAAAGTACAACATTAATGTAAGCAGCTGCTCTTAAATCACTCACCTTTTCAGTTCTGATACATTATCTCACAGTAATCTAGTATAACCAGTCAGGATTGTCCCAGCTGTTTGGTATCAACAGCTATCAAGAGTAATTTTATAACAAAAATGCTGAAGTGATGTAGCACGTGTGTTCAGAGGTATGATCTGTGACTGTACACATGAACCATTCCATCCCAAAACTGGACAACAGAGCCAACACTGGATTTTCTTCTGAAAACAAAAAGATAAAGGTGAACTTGGGGAAAAGTCATAGAGCTGTGACCTGTGTTCACGTTTCTAGTGAACGTGACTCTGTGGTACTTATTTCTACTTGTGCCACAGTTTTTATTTATCATCCATTTGTTCCAGCACGTGTAGAAGGCAAAGTAAGGACTGCACAAGATTTGTTAAAAAGCACTATTGTAGGCTTGTCTGGGAAGTTTGTGTTACAGCTGGATTATTTGAGCTAAGGATGCTGTAATTGGTTTGGTGTATGAAAAGTGCTGACCTTCAGTAGAACAGAGAAACTGCTTTCAAGCTGTTTTCTTATCCTTCAGCATCTTAGTAACTCTTACAATACTGTGTTGCATCCATGAAGGACTTTATGAAGTCTGTGCAACTTGGAACAGACCAGAAAGTTACTTTGCTGGGGGAGCAGCTCTGTTACAACCAAGCATGTGGCCTTCAGCTGCTAACATGTTTCCTCACCTCAGGGTCTGACACAGATCTCTCCGTGACCACCGCAACGCTGGGTTTGGCTTCAAAGATGTGAATTCCACATGTGGTATCCAGTATTTAGGTTGTGCCTTCCCTTTCAGTTAGTTGTTCCTGCGACCAACACGTTGGCATCTTACCTTGCCGACATGGGAGAGCTGCAGACAAGGTCCAAAGAAGTGCTGGCTGCATTAGTGGTGCGATTACTCCATGTTAATTTAGTGAAAGCACGTCCTCCTCCCCAAATCACTAGTGTTACTCCACCTTTATCCCAGAGGCAGGTCTGAGAGTCAGGTTATAAAAACACAGAGCTTTTTTACTTTTACAGGCTAAATGTATTGACACCTTTTATACAAATGAAAGCAAATTATAGTATTACATTAATTTAACAAATTCTAATACAAAAAAAACATATTTCATAAAATGCAATTTTAAAATCAAAGCTCTACAGAAACATACAACTCCCCTATAAAGATGTCCAGTCCATTGAGCATTGCTTGCTCAAAACGTAGTTATGAGCTTAAATACACTCATAAGTGTATTACACTGAACTATACATTTGGATAAACGTTACTGAAATCAGAAATGAAGGAAAACTACTTCCCACCAGAAGGAGCTGTACAGCTCAAGCGAGAAGCAGCCACCAGGTCAGTTCAGCCCAGGCTGCAGCTGGAGCAGCTCTGCCTTGCTGGTGGCTGACACACCTGTCAAACATGCAGCTCTCGTAGCAACACCTCAGTGTCACCGATCGGAAACGTCAACAACATAACTGTTGGCTGTAGGAAACAAGTCACAAGCCACATCCAGATCACAGGCAGTACCTTGCCTGCACCACTCACAGACTAAAAACTTTCTTTAATAAAACTGGTTTATCAAATGTTCAAAACAAATTTTTGCCTATTGCTCTACTTCACCAAGTTTACTCCTTTTGGATATTTAAATATTATGAAATGACCAAACTAGCTGAATTAAAGGTATACAAAATTATTATCTATCAAACATCCACTTTATACATAAACATTTCTGAAACAGATTTACAGTATACAATTAGTTTATACAGCTTAAGCAACTGTTACGTCGTCATTTCTCTCAAATTGAAAGCAGCCAAAAGGCCTAAGGTTTTGTGAAAAGGTTCTTGGTCATCATCCAAATTTTACCTTCTCTGTCTCAAACTGCTCACACCTATCTCACCACACTTAACGCTGCAGGGCTCGTTCCATAAACTATACAGTATTCCATCTCACCATATGCTGCAAACTGGTTAATGTGCAAGAAAAGCTCATTAACTCCAATGTGTTTTTAAATACAATGTATCTACATTTTTCCCCAGAAAGCTCTCACTTCCTGGGCTAGACAAAATACCTTAAAACAGGTTTAGACGCAGATCTGAGACCCCGTAAGCAAACTACATTAAATGTGTACGGGGGAACCCCACCCTGCTTTGGGTAGCTCCCTACTGCTTGTTTGTGCTCTAAATACCTTTTAGATTGATCTAGTACTCTGTTGAATAAGGTAGCAAACTTACTATTTTAGTTGTCTAAACTGTTACTATTGTGCATGGTTCTTGCCTTTTATGACTTTTATATAGCAGAATGTGTAGATTTCGCAGGCTACTGAATACTTCTTATAATCTTCATCTCATCTAGGTGCCTGGATTTAGCAATGCTACAGTCTGCAACAAAAGCATGCAGTTTGGGGGGGGGGCTTTGTTTGGTTTTAAGATAATATCTCATTCAGTTCAATACTAATATCTAAATCAAAGGACAGCAGATTAAAACGGCTATTTTGAAGTTACTTTTGAATATTTTAAATACTTTTTTTTTATTTCCAAAAACGTCTTGAGGTCACTTTCGATGACAAAGAACAAATCTAAAACAGAAACCTGGTTTTTGTTTGTATGAAAACGGGTTTTGGAGCTGTCTGTGAAATCTGGTTTTGGATCTGGAGTTCAAAAATAATTTTTAAAAGGAAAATTAATTTTCTAATCAAGCAATGAATTAACTTACAGGAAAATCTATATTACTAAATAAGCTTATACAGGAAATTGCAATATGGTAAGCTTGGGTTTAAGGTGCTGTTCCATCTGCCCTCAAGTCTTTTAAGGACTTTACCATGTGGGCATCATGTCTGGGAACCAGACTCGACCCAGATGCTTTGAAACTTCCCAGTGAATCTGCTCTAAGCTGTATTTCTGATCAGGAACCAAAACTTCCTCCATAATAGAGAGCTGAGAGAGACGACCACCACACATCTTCACAAACTCCACAAAGGCACTGCAAGAGACTTCACACTCCCCTAGGCCGACGGCCGACAGATACTTGCAGCGCTCGGCGATGCAGATCAGCTCCTCATCCAGCGGCCGCAGCCCGTTGGCACACACCACCAGCTCCACCAGCCGCGGGCACGTCATCCCGACGCGGCCCAGGACGTCTTTGCTTACCGATCTGCCAAAGTAAAGGTGAGTGACAGGTATTTCATAACGAAAGAACGGGTCAAACTCCTCCTCGTACAGGAAAAAGTACATCACTAAATTGACTTTAGGAGAATGCTTGATGAAAGCGTCCCAGCTGCTCTTCTGGATCGTATGGAACTGAGTCTGTCCAGGATTTTCACTGACAACGTCAATGCGCAAGTGTTCTAGCCTGACGTGCTTCTCAGACGACAACGCGAGCAGCAGCTCGTCGCTCAGCAGGTGGTAGTTCAGCGCCAGCTCACGTAAGCCATGGCACTGGTCAGCCACACACAGGATACCTGGGAGAACAGGACACTGTCAAAGGGGTTACACAGATAAAACACACCAGTAACTGAACATGAAACATAAGACTGAACTGGTTTATGTATGTCAGGAGGTGCAAAGACCACCTGTGTCAACACACAGCCAAGACCTAACCTCAAAACAAAATCACACTGGACAACCCAAATCTGAATCTGTGTCATCTAAGTGTGACCTTGTGACTTTTCTGCACCGACACAGTAAGTCACACACTGTACTATGTGACTGCCTCGCTCGTTTGCTCAGGAGAGAAAGTTAATGAATATATAAATAGAAGTGGCAAGTATATAAATAGCATACTCTGACTGCTCTGCCCCATTCTAAGACCACACATACTCAACTTCATTTTTTAAAAGGTCCTTACTCATGATAAAAGTATTTCCCTAGCCTGGTCTGGAAGAACTGCTGCCTCCTCTGTGGCTGATAAAACAACTGAGAATGAAATCTGTCACACAAAGAAAGCAAACGTAAAATGAATGCTAGATGTTAATTAAATACAGAAGCTTCTGCTGTCAGTATTTGTTACTTCTAGCAAAGGATAGATATTTAAATTCAGAAAAACAACAATAAAAAGAGGCAAAACACTAAAAATTTGGAGCAGCAATTCCTAGAACAGCAATTTTCAGACTCTCTTTAATGAATCAATATACCCTGCTGCTCACAGAAGACTAAAACATGAACAGTAAGAACTCAATTCAGTGTAAGGTTTCCACTCATCCCATTTGTAGATGCAAGTGATGGTAATATACTGGTAACAGTACTGAAAAAAATATAAGTTTCTAAGTGTAAGCATACTCACTGCATTTGGGGAGGAAGGGGCAGGATCCAAGATGAAGTGAAAATACAGGGGTTGGGGGGCAGGGTGTTTGTTTGGCTTGTTGTTAAGACTGTAGTACAAAATTAGAACAATGAAGTAGAACTACAAACTTCTGGGAACCTTCTACACATTCCAGAGATAATTTCCTATCCTTGAACTACAACAAAGTTATTCTTACAGTGATGCTCCCAGAAGGGCTACTATGGCCACTCCCTTTAAGCAGACTCAGATGTGCTCCTTAATACCCAAGTCTGCTGACACAAAGTACTTCAAGCAGTTTCAAGATTCATATATATTTTCTCATCACTACAGTTTCTGAGAACAGCCTGCCACAAATTTAGCATCTAAACCAGCTTGTTGTCCTGACTTCTGTCCTTCCACAAAGCGTATTTACTAACTTCAGGGACACATTATCAACCAGTGCAATGCCAAAAGGGAAGAGCTGAGGTTCAGCTTACTGTGGGTTTTTTTATGGGTCTAAGGCTATCTACAATCTGTCAATGAAATTATATATCCTGCATATAGAACTGAGAATGAATTGACAATGAATTCAGAGTAGATAGTTACTGGAGGGCCTGTCTAGGGCCCATGTTTGCACTGCCTAAACCTTTGTGTCACAGAAGAAAATCACCCAGGTATCATACAGCATAGATCTCCATCAAAAAAATTCCAGACACATGAAGTCCCTGATGCTTACACACCCTACATCCAACTCTTCTTCCCTACCACCCCACTACAAAAGAAGCAGGCCTCCTATCCCCAAAGCAGAGCAGAAATTCAGCCTTTACAGGAACACTTCCCATTCCCCCTATTCCAACAACTGTTAGTTCAGAGGGGAAACACCAAACAGAAGAAACTTCAGATAAGCTCACAAACATTAGAAATACATCACTGCCTTTGTTTCTCCAGCCCAAACTCAAACATGCCTCTCTAACTTTGTACAGTAACTCTGGAGATTATTCAGAGCAGCCTTTGGAAGCAAATCCCAGTTTGGTATTAATCTTTTTCCTTTATCCCTGCAGTAATGAAGTATTTCTCGCACTTGTGTTACTCTCTTCTGTCTTCCACTAACAAATTTCTTGAGAACTAGTCCAGTAAGGAACACTCCCCTCCTCCAATTTGAAAGGATGTTATACCATTTTAAGTACATCTATAAATGAGCAGTTTTGCAACTCACAGCCCTTTTGGCTCAATTAAAGTATTTCCAGGTTTATAGAAGCCTGCTAATTATAATATTCCCATTAAAAAAAAATCCAGGTCACATTTTCCTTCAAGACTCTCATTTTTGCAGCCTGCCTGCTCTTGAAGCCAGCTAACCACATACCAGCTCCTTCCTCTGGTTTCACTTGGTGGGTTGCCCCTGGCTGGGCATCAAGTGTCCACCAAAGCTGCACAATCACTCCCCTCCTCAGCCAGGCAGGGAGAGAACATAACTAAAAGCTCGTGAGTGGAGCTAAGGGCAGCAGGCAGGGATCACTCAGCAATTACTGTCATGGGCAAAACAGACTTGACTGGGGAAAATCAATCTATTGCCAACTAAATCAGGGCAGGGTAATGAGAAATAAAATGGAATCTTAACACACCTTCCTCCCACTCCTCCCTTCTTCCCAGGCACAACTTCCTCATGATTTTCTCTACCTCCTCCCCACCTGCAGTGCAGGGGGACAGGGAATGGGACCTGTGGTCAGTTCTTCACGCATTGCTTCTGCTGCTGCTTCTTCCCTCGCAGGGGGAGGATGCCTCACACTCCTCTCCTGCTCCAGTGTGGGGTCCCTCCCATGGGAGCAGTCCTCCTCACAGGCTGCAGTTCTTCAGGAATTGTTTCAGTGTGGCTCCTTCCATGGGGCACAGTCCTTCAGGAACATTCTCCAGTGTCTCCTGCAGGGCCAAGTCCTGCCAGCAAACCTTCTCCAGTGTGGGGTCCTCTCTCCACAGGTCCTGCCAGGAGATTCTTCCAGTGTGGGCTTCCCCCAAGAGTCACAGCCCTCTTTGTGCATCTACCTGCTCCAGCACGAGGTCCTCCATGGGCTGCAGGTGGGTCTCTGCTCCACCGTGGACCTCCACGGACTGCAGGGGCACAGCCTGCCTCACCATGGGCTGCAGGAGAGAATCTCTGCTCTGGCATCTGGAGAACCTCCTCCCCCTCCTACTTCACCAACCTTGGTGTCTGCAGGGCTGTTTTTCTCACATTCTCACTTCTATCTCTAGCTACAATTCCTCTCCTGCAGTAACTTTTCCCCCTTCCTAAATATGTTATCCCAGAGGCACTACTACCATTGCTGATGGGCTTGGCCTTCACTCTGTTGGACATGGGGGAAGTTTATAGCAGGTTCTCACAGAAGCCACTCCCATAGCCCTTCCCCCCCCCCCCAAAATATTGTCATACAAACCCAGTACACCCTCTTTTCTCTTGGTCTCAAGGCACACCCATACCTGAATTAAGCAATTGAACTCTCCTGCTATTTGCTTAGCACTCTCTGGTTTTGTCACTAATGCATCTTAGCCCACTGTACTCATCTTTACTCCGTGAAGGACAATAGTAGCTGTGCTCTTTGTTCCTTAAACAGGCATTACCATTTCTTACCTATTATTCCTTTGATTTAAAAATGTACAAGATACATCAACCAGAACACACCAGTCAAACAGCTTTGTAAACCCACACTCCCTCCCAAATTATCAAGTGTATGATGTTCCAGTAAAACTTTCTAGCAAAGGTTAGCTACAAACCAGCAAAGTCTGCTAGAGATGACAGGTTACTCTTGGATCCAAGTCCAAGGAAACTGCTCTTTTTGCCTAGCTACAAATTACTGCTGGAGCGTTTTCCTCTTGGCAGACACATTATGGCTCCTGTACTTCTCAGACACAAGGATTCTCAAACAGAATTTCAAGTCAGAAAAGCCAGTCACTCAAGCCAACCCCCTGTCTATGATTACAAGGCTTTGGAGGAAATAACATTCCAGTTAGCATGCTGGTGAACACTTTGCTGGGCCCATCTGCTGCAAAACAAACCTGTGGTTTCCGGGCTTCTTTACACAAAACTGAACACGAGGTTTTGTCCAAGAGCTACACCTGCAAAAGCTATTAAGTTTGTTTTGTTTGTTATCACAGCAATAACAAGCCCTCTGCTGCAGTACCATTTCCCCCACAAATCCTGCTGGTCCATTTTACACATAATATACCTAATATTTAGAGCTGCAGTATATGTGCATTAAAAAAAAGTTATGGTGACTACAGTAGTTTCAACTCATCTTCAGAAGAGGAATCTAGCTAAGTTACCAGCATCTCATTTACAAGTCCTCTTCCATTTCTCATTGAAAAACTGCAAGTGTTAAGTTGATGGGCTGTGAATAAAACTTAAACTTGCTGTTCATTGCATAGTCTTCCACAAATGTCAATTCTGTGAACTTCAACAATCTTGAGGAGTGATTTCATTCTGAGAGGAACTTCATTCTTGATACAGACACACTTAAAAGTGCTAATGAAGTAATGGTAGAAATTCTGCACAGCCAGTCTCATCTCCCCTTTGTTGATGCTGGCTGCACTTATTCTCCAGCAATAGATTAAACTGCTTTCTTTGAAAATGACTAAACCAGCATCTTTATAATCTGTGACACAGCAACACTCAAAACCCATGTATCATCATGAACTGTGAGAAAGAACTCACAGTCCAAAGAGCTCAATTATTCTGGAATCCTTAAAGAGTCATTGCACAAGTAGCACAGTTTCAATTAATAAACACACTCTAAGTTCCACATGAGGTTACTTATTTGCCCACAACTGACATGCCCCATTTTATTATTAGCTCAGTAGTCACTCTGCAAGTAGTAGGAGAGCTGGATTGATCACCAGTTGAAAGTACTTCATCCAGTGACCGTTGTTGTAAATACCACACTCATCCTCCCTCCCACCTCACCTCACCCCACCCCTATTTTTTCAGGGTTTTACTGGTTTCAGGCAGAATTTAATGCATGCATCAAAACCCAAACCAAATAAACCAATCCCCCAAACAAACCAAACCACAGTAGCTTACCAGCTGGAGAAACATGAGGACAACTGCTCATTTTCAACAGTTTGAGTGTATCACTGTTGTTAGCCACTAGCACTTTGAGGGATGGATCATCTACTGGTGTATCATCAATTTTAAGGGAAGAGAGGGATTTGGAGTTTACAAACACCACTGTCAGTGCAGAAATAAAATGAGACTGGAGAGAAAAAAGAAAGTTTAAAATCAAACAGTAGTACCTGAAGTAAAACTCTCAATGCTTTTACATTGTACACAGCAGTCCTAGTTTTTTTCTGCTTATTAACAGCATTTGTTGAAAAAGCATTCTTTCTTATAATTAAAAATTAATACCAAACCAGGCATTTTTAGCAGAGGAAGTGTAATAGTTTTTTGCTATCAACCTATGTATTTGGCTAACCAGAACGCCTAACATTAAATACAAATCAAGAATCTGACTCTGGACAATCCACTGCACAAATTTAAATATATAGAAAGACCATGAGCAAAGGGAAAGCCTAGAAGCACTAATTATAGGGAATAATTTGCAAGTCACACTCTAAAAGAAACACCTCCTAGAACAGGAATTCCCACATGGTGAGTTGTGCTGCATCTGTGAGATGCAAACACAGGACTGGCAATCCTGTAATGCTGTGTTCAATGCCAAATGATACTACTGCCTGCCTACCACCCACACAGAACCTTCAGGGTCTGAACACACTTATCTTGGAAAGCTGACTGGAGTGGTCCAAACAGAGCCGAGGAGCAGGCAGTCAATTAACTACTGATTAAGCAGCACAGATAATGGAGGTCCAGCACTCAGCATTTTTGCGTAACCACCGACACTTACCAGTAAAGATGGAGCCTGAGGCACCTGAACTTGAGAAACACACAACTAAGGGCAGATATAGCACTGCTTGTAAAAACCATTGGTGCTATGAAGAAGTGAATAATCAGCTTATCTTCATGATTTCTTACAAGACTGACTGAACAGAAGACTTTTAAAAAGTATTTTCTCCATGTGCTACATTCAGTATTCCATAAAATTAGCTGTTACTTGGATTTCAATACTGTGTCACTCTGAGCCACATGCACACACACCAAATACAGTTAGAGGAGAGAAGGCCTGGCAACAGCATTTGCTCATTCTTATGCCATATGTTTGTGGGTTTTGATAAAACTCAGACACAAATAGATTTAGAAAAGGAATTAATACTTCCATGTTAACACAAACTTTCAAAGCCAGTCCAGACACATGGAAACACAAAGTTCAGCTCAGAAGCATTAGGCATTTTGGCTTGAGGGACCACTCCAACTATACTGACAATACATTATGTGCGCAAGAAAAAGGCACTTTAGTACTATTTCCATTCTGTATTTTGAAAGTGTTAGCACTGTGGTTTCATTCTCTGCATTCAGAAAGTGATGCCCTTCACTAACAAGGCTGTTAAATAGAAAGGCAAAGAAAGTTAACTGTGTTTATGGAAACAAGTAACTTAAGACTTCTGGTTTGAAGAGCTACTGGAAAACAGGCAATATTCCAACATGTAAAAACTGATCTTTTCAGTATTGCCACACATGTAGCCTACAGTATGATTCTTTAGAAGATTCCTGTAGAATGTACTTGGTGAAGAGATTAGGCAACACAGTGCTAAACATGCTTTACAAATATCTTCCAGATGTCACATTACTTGAAAACAGAAGAGCACTGATGAGGATAATGCAAAGTAGTTCGAACTTCTTATAGTCTGATAAAAATGAAACAAAAACCCCCAAAACACAGTGTAGCATTAACCATTTTTCAAAAACCTATTTGTCTTTGCTTCTCACCTAGTGGGGCTGTTACTAACAGCTTCCCACAAGAATTTATTCATGGCCCGGTTCAATTCCTTAGTTTCACTAGTGATCCACGAAAATTTTCAGATCACTGCTGGCCCTGTATGCCAGTGACAATAATATTGGAGTGGTAAACATCAAAAGCCAAATTAGCCTAGAGCTAATTTTGACTCACTTTGAATATATTTTTTAAAGGCCACATGTAAACATTTTGGGAACAAAAAAACAAAGCCTGTATTTTGGAAGCCTTGAAGCTGAAGAAGTCCATAGCAGAAATAACTGAATAAGGACCATAACACATCCCTCCAGGGAAAGCTAAGTAAGAGAGCTCAAGCAGCATTCAGATTAGGAAAGAAAACAATAAGCAAGAGCTGAAAGGGCAAAGTATTAACATATTGAGACTGTGGAGTTTTCACTACATTCAGGTTTTCTTATCACATCTCAAAGCACATCAAAAAAAGGAAAAAAAATCATACCAAAACTAGTTAAGTATCTGGAAAACCTTTTTGAAAGTTAAGGATTAAAAATACACATTCAAGAGAACTTCATGATGTGGCTGTGGCCACTGCCAAGGCTAGTAATTGATAATCCTTCTGTAGCTAACCTTGCTTAAATCCTGCATCCTGCTTCCTTTCCCCAGGATGTCTCTAGTTCTTCCTCGTCCTTACTGCCATCACCAGCAACGACATCACGGAGATGTAGCTAACAGCCAAGTTGTAGCTGGCCCTTCACAACCACTCTCTGCTCCTTAGCAATAGTACACTTCCCCCTCACTAGCAGGAATTCTTCTTCAGAAGCACACGTAAGAGATTTGTTGTCTTCCTGATCAGATGTCTTCTAACAAGACCTGATTTTTGATAAACATGCAAGGTAATAATCTGACTGAAAATTTCAGAAATACAGTGCACTTCACCTAAGAAGCTGACACCTGACTGTGTGACATGAAGTATTGAAAATCATGATCATATTGCTTTCTAAAGAGCTCACTGATCCTGTCAGCCCTACAGCAAGTCCACATGGATACAACTCTGCCACTCATTTGATCATAAATGTCTCCTAAACATCCCCCACAGTACAATTACACAGACCTGAATCGTCTAGTCTTTAGACTTGCACCATGCTGCTCAGGAGTACACTGAGGTCAGCAGACAGGAGGATTTGAAACAACAAGGTCAGGACTAGCTTCTCACATGATTCAGAGTACAACATCTCAGTTCTTCACTTTAACACAGTCCAGTAATAAAGCTTTCTTTATCAAAGCTGCACATTCCTAAAGCAGAATTTTCCATGAAGTTACAGAAGCACTGTATGAAACACTGCATACTTTGCATAGAAAAATATACATATTAAAATACCTTTGGTAAATCCATGAAGCTTGGCCGGGCAGTTGAAATTAGCCCAAGTGTTTTCAGAGAGCAATTCACAAGCTGTGATAAAATATCACAAGCTGCTTCTGCAGATTCCTTGCTACTGTCCACCTTAAAACAAAATGGATTTCATGTTCAGAACATACTGTAAACACACTCTCAGGTTTTTTTTTCCTACTTTACCTTCTGAAATGTTATGTCAAAAAAAACCCCACAAAACATCTCATTGGGAATCCATCAGTGTCATTGGGGTTTTTCCCCCAAAAACATAGGTATCAAAAATCCAAGACAATTTGCTATAAATTTACTACTCTCCTGAACACTTTGGTAAAATATAGCACGGTTAGGGGTCAGCTAAATGGTTTGATCCATGATACTCAATCCACATCAAATAATAAGCAAGTGAAGGTTCGTTTGGGTCCACAGCTAACCCAAATTCCTCTTTACATTCCTCCCTGTCAAATTGCAGAAATCCTATAAAATCCCTTACTGTGTGAAAAAGCTGCTTCCTTTTACAGCGACTCAGTTCATAATACCGAACTGCTGGAGAGTTAAGTGCATTAGCATATGGACCTATATGACTGTCCCTCCATCCTTAATACCACAACGAATATGTAAGGAATACACTGAAAAAACCAAAAACCTCAACCTTCGCCAGTCAGCTTGCTACACAGCTGTCTCCAATGAATTTCCCCTGACACTCAGACGTGCCTTCTGAATAACCTCTTACGGGCAGTACGTGTGACAGCTTTGCAAACCTACAGAACAGTACAAAGCTTGATCACAAGATCAAATTTAAGTTTACCCTAAGCCACACCACCTTGTCTGCAATAGATCTAAGTCAAATGAATGTTCATTTTCTGTTCAAACACAAGCTGAAAAAACCTCCGTTTTCAACAATCCAAGCTTTCTTTGCCTACAAAAAACACCCTCATGTTTTCAGCCTTTGCAGAGTAATAGTGTTACAACCTCTGAAGGACAACTGAAGCAACACATTCCAGGAATGATGTGGGTATCACCCTAGCAGTGAAGGGCATCTGAAATTCTTCAAAATCACTTAGTGTAAAGCAACACAGAAAGAAGATACGACACTAAAGGTCATTCCACTACAACTGTAAGTTTTCTTTATACAGACACTGATAAAAGTCCTGCAAGCCTTGTGAGAACAGTTTGTATCTGGCACTGCAATCAAGCAGTAGCAATACACGGGACTAGGCAGAGGTGCCTCAGGTATCCACATGCTGGTGATTCCTGCATTGGAACTGCCAGATCTCCGAAATAACAAGCGTGTTAACCTTGCAGAAGTCACTTCCTTTCCAAATTTCTCACATAGCTGATGCACAGACAGCCACCAGTTGGTAAGTGCAGAAGGTAGCAGACTGACAGGGGATGAGGATAAGGCAGAGGTAGTCAATGCCTTCTTTACCTCTGAATTAATGTCAAGGCTGGTTGTCCTCAGGATAACCAGCTCCTAGAGCTCAAAGTTGGTGATGGGGAGGTAAGTGAAGCCGCCATAATCAAGGAGGAGATGTTTAATGACTTGCTTTGCCAACTGGATGATCACAAGTCCATCAGCCCTGATGAGATCCACCCCAGGGTAACGAGGGAACTGACAGAAGAACTTGCTTAACCACTACCAATCATCTCCCAGCAGTCCTGGATAACTGGAGAAGTTCCAACTGACTGGAAATTAGCAAACATGACACCCATCTATAAGAAGGGTCAGAAGGAGGATCCAGGGAACTACAGACCTGTAAGCCTAACCTCAGTGCTGGGCAAGGTCATGGAGGAGACTGCCCTGAGTGCCATCACACAGCACATGAAGGGCAACTAGGGAATCAAGTCCAACCAACATGGAGTTATGAAAGGAAGGTCCTGCTTGACTGATATTATCACATTCTACAACCAAGTGACCCATTTAATGGATGAAGGGAAGGCTGTATATGTGATACTTCTGGATTTTAGTAAGGCATTAGACACTGCCTCCTACAGCACACTTCTAAAAAAACTGGCTGCTCGTGGCTTGGATGGGTGGACTCTTCAATGGATAAAACATTGGGTAGATGGCCAGGCCTAAAGAGTTGTGATGAATGAAGCTAAATCCAATTGCTGGCCAGTCACTGGTGGTGTTCCCCAGAGCTTAGTACTGGGGCCAGTCCTATTAAATATCTTTAGTGATGATCTGAACATGGGGATTGAGTGCACCTTTGGTAAATTTGCAGACAACACTGTTGGGTGGGAGTGTTGATCTACTTGAAGGTAGGAAAGCTCTACAGAGATCGGGACAGACTTGATCAATGGACTGAGGACAACTGCATGAGGTTCAATGAAGTGAAGTGCTGCATCCTGCACTTGGGACACAACAATCCCACGCAGCACTACAGGCTGGGGGAGAAGTGGCTCGAGTGCTGTACATCAGACAGGTACTTGGGAGTGCTGGTGGACAGCAGCTCAATATGAGCCAGCAGCGTGCACAGGTGGCCAAGAAGGCCAATGGCATCTGGGCCTGTATTAAGAATAGTGTGACCAGTAGGACTAAAGAAGTGATCATCCCCCTGTACTCAGCATTGGTGAGGCCACACCTCAAGTACTGTGATCAGTTTTGGTCCCCTCAATTAAAAAAGGATATTGAGGTGCTGGAGCAAGTCCAGCCAAGGGCAACAAGGCTCATAAAAGGTCTAGAATACATGTTGTCCGAGAAAGGGATGAGGGAATTGGGTTTGTTTCGCCTTGAGAAGAGGCAGCTCAGGTGTGACCTCATCGCTCCCTACAACTACCCGAAAGGAGGTTGTAGAGAGGTGGGGAATGGTCTCTTCTGCCATGCCTGCAGTGACTAGAAGGAACTGACATAAGCTGAGACAGGGGAGATTCACACCAGATGTTAGGGTGGTCAGGCACTGGAATAGGCTGCCCAGGGAGGTGGCAGAGTCGCCATCCCTGGAAGCGTTTAAAGAGGCATCTGGATCTGATGCTGGATAAATATGGTTTAGGGCTCAGGGATGACAGTGGAGTGACAGGTTAATGTTTGGACTTGATGAAGTCTTCTCCAACCTTGATGATTTTATGATTGTCTCAGCACCCTTCCAAAACACAATGATATGTAATCCAACAATAAAGGTTTTTGTCTACTGAAAATAATTCCATGGTATGAGCAGAACCAATTCTCACCAACTGGTACACATGTACAGTCAGTAAACACAGCAAACTGTGCAAATCCCAGGAACTTTCTCAGTTAACTGAAAGGCAGTGGTGCTGAGTACAGACAATCCCACACAATCTAGTGCTAAAACTGCTAGTTGCTGAGTAGTAGCACTGAAGTCACTCTCTATGCATTAGATGTTTTCTAACCATGAATACTGAATCCAATTCCCTACAGGATGTGAAACTGGGAAATGCTCAATTTATGCATCCTGATCAAACCTTCTGTCCACTCACTGAGGCAGAATTTTAAGCAGCTAAGCTGCTACAAGAAAAAAGAAAAACAAAATAAGCAACCCACAAAACCAAAACACACCCCACCAAACAAAAAAATTCCCATTTAACAGAATTAAGCAATGAAAAGGTATGATCAGAACTGTTATTTTAAGTTTTGGTCCTGAAAATACACAGAAACAAATTAATTGAGAGATAACTCCATTGTCTACATTTCCATTTAGAGAAGCCATTTCTTCAGTATACCAAGCCTGAGAGCAAGGCCACATACCACACGCAGCGATGCCATTTCTTTTAAAATAAAAGCTACTTTTAAAAAGCCTAAAAAATACACTACCTTGAAGCTTACATACTGCAGGTGATTGGAATGTCTCTTTATTATCTGCTTGATTAGTTCAGGATGTGTAGTCCTCAAGTTAGATGTGGCTGGTTGATTCAGTTCAAACTCAAAGCACCTCCAAAGATCAGGCATATGGAACACCTGGTTCCAGCTTCGGCAGACCTGCGACGCATGAGCACGATCCAGAAGGGGCAAGTACTGGAACACCTGCAGGATAATGTCTGGAAGGAGGTTTGCCCAGTCAGGACTCTGCGCAGCTATGGTTTTCTTCTCTAGAACCTTGTGTCTCTTGGATTCCTTCTCAGATGTCTCTTCAGATGAACTGCTGTTGGCCTCATTAGTTTTTCTTCCTCGTTTCATTCTACGGAAGTAAGAAAGAAAACCAGCTCCTATTTATTTTGTAAGTGTAACAGAGCTGAGAACAATATTAATAGAAAACTGGAAGTGAAAAGGATGTTTTCTTCAACAACACTTTTGGAGGTATTCTTTCCTCCCCTATATAAAGGAAAAAATCCTCAAGTAACAACAAAATTGAAGTGGTAGTCTAAAAACACCATTATCATCTAACCTCATATCTTTATTATTACTTCTTTAATCATTAACAGTGCCAATCCAAATCTATTTACAACAGTCACTCTCCTTTCAGTGTTTCACTCTTGTGTTTAAGAACATTTTAAACTGAATTTTACTCTTTTGTCAATTAGCACTCTACTTTTCTAGGAATGAAGAGATGATCTTCTAAATGATCTTTTGGACACTCCTACTGCTGCCCCAATTGTATTTATCAGGAACAACACTTTGAAACTGTGGACGCAAAAATCTAAGTAATGACCACATGCATGCCTGCAGGCATTGCATACTGCAGATGTTGTGTCTGACCAAATAATTTTCACTCTCAGACAGGAAGAACATTTTCTTTTAAATTTATTTATTTAAAACAGGTTACTTCAATAGGCATCTATCTTAAATCAGTATCCTTGAAAACATTTCATCAAGAACATTGGTGTGCTTTCATTTTTGCAACTAACTAGTAAATACGGATCATGAAAGATTTCCAGTAACGACTTGGAAGTTTCAAACTACAAAAATAGTTTACAGAATAGTCAGAAAACTTTCTTCAAAACTATATTCACTTCAGCAAGCCTGAGGCAAAAGGTTACCTCACTCGCAGTAGCATCTACTTTTTCCATAATGATCTCACCCAAGTTCTACCCCATATTCCGTTATTAAAAAGTCAAAAATCCATCACTACATATACCTGAAATAAATCTAGCATTGGGTTTTAGCAATGTGTGTTCTTTTGCTCCTGAGATCTTACAAAAGAACTCAGAGTCTGGTCATTTATTTTCAAAAGCCTCAATACAATGCACATCATGTCCTGAAAGGCTAGGAATGAGACCTCATATTTAACAACATTATGCTCAATTCTAGTTTCTAAAAAGCCAGGAGAATCCAGGGCTGGGAAGGGTTTGACATGTACAAGCGTTCCCCAGCCCCCTGATTTCTGTGAGACAAACATGAACTTCATACACAGTGAAATCTTCTGGTTTAACAGACAAATACCATTCCATGCGTAAGATTATCATACCTCCAGTTCTTTCTGGGATCTGGAAAATTAAGTTTCCCTGCTATGTACTGCAACTAAGTAAAAGTCTGGCAGAACTCTTTTCAAATGAAGTGTAATATGCTAGATAGCCAAGTTAAAAATTATCCTGTTTATAATCCAATGCATCATAGATTATTTTCTCGAAGCCAGCACCTCCTTACCTATCTTTACAAGACTTTAATCCCAGCTACTCACATGACAGAAGCTATCACTTAAGGACTGAAGCTGCTCATAAGATGATGCAAGCAAACCTGAACATACTGTCATGAAAGACTGATGAACAAAATTCCTCTTTACTTTTTTCAACTTCATTTTTTAATCCCAGGAGCACTTGGGGGCAAACAGAAGATGAAAACATTACTGGGAAAAAACTCTACTTGCTGCCCCAGAACTATTTTCTGTGATTCACAGCTCACAACTGCAACTATGCAAAACACAACAACTGTGCTAGAACAAGCTTTCTGCCTGGGAAGGAGTTCTGCTGCTGAGCCACTAACCTCACTGGTACAGAAGAAAAGCAAGAAACTAAACAGTGACTCAGAACCATCTGCAATTAACAGAACTATGAAGGAATTGGAATTTGCAACTGGGAAAACCAAATTAAACTTATAATTAATCATTATGGAAAAATTAATCAGCAAATCCACTGCAAACTTGTCATGTTTCTGTTAGAGGTAACTGCTGAGCACAGTACAAAAACCGTACTTGTAATAAGGTATTCTGAAATGCAACATTCCTTTAAACTTTAGGCTTTTGGATACTCCAAACAACTAGGTTACAACAACCATTTACCACAGCAAGCTATTTACTTGCCAAATTTAGGATAGCAGGTTTGATGTCTTGAAGTCTTTCCAGAGCCACCTCTTGCTAGCGTGTAAAAAAACCACACAAGGTACTGTTAGACTTGGCTCTCCAAGTCTTCCCATAAGATCTCTGTAAGAGATCCCACCTTGTCTTTTGCTAGTAAGGTAATACATGTGCATAAATTTTCTGGTTAAGGTATTTTATCACTGCATTAAGGTAGGTGCAGGGATGAGCTGCCATTGACAAAACTGCATTAATTTTTCAGTTGGAAAAAAAGCCTCCAAGACACACTGATAGAGGTGGAACAGGTCATCAACAGACAACTTACATGCTGCACCTCTGAGTTCACTTAGGTAAGTTCTCAGTAGTCAATATATGCTGGTTAGAGATCAAAACTCACCCTTGAAAGTTGTGGGGTACTGTCCCAAGTGTTGATGAACAGCCAATTTAAAAACAAGAGACAACACAACCATCACTACACCTGATGATGATGAATTACAAGTCTCACAAGAAAATAAAATGAGTTCTAAGTGCCATGGCTTGACAAGTACAGGATAGGGGAAAAAACATTTCCAGGCAACTTTTTTGTTACTGACATCTTTGATGCTGTTGTAATTAAAAACAGATAGTAAGCATAATTACTCACAAATATTTCCTTGTGGAACTTTCTCCAAAGAGCAAAAAAGCATCTAAAAACTATGATTGTATGAATTACATTAATGTTTCGTGGTTTAATTTCTAACTAATTTGTCCATTTTACTTTTGGCATCTTGTTTCAGAGCTTAAAGCATTGGAGTAATTCTTTGAAAATGTAACTGCTTTCAATCTCTTCACATGCCTAATAGTAAAACAAATACAAAACTGACAGAATGCAGTTAAGCCTACAGAAGTTCCCAGAGCCATGTGAAAAGATATTGAAAAAAATACGGCCACTTAAGAGAATAAACCTTCCTGCATATTTAATATGGGAACAGAAAAATGCAATTAGGCAGTTCAGATCACTTGGTTTTATGTATCCCACAGTGTAAAGATGTAACCGTTTTAAGTCCAAGGCCAACTTTTCAACAAGGAAGACCTGGATGTAAAAATTCCACAGCAGCACATTACTGTGTAGGTACAACCTATTTTTCCAACGATGGCTGCTTATCACCTCTTACCAATGCTGGAACCATCACTCTGGCTTTTAACTCTCCCAGGCACACTCAGGGCACACATATCACTGATCAGCTTTTTTCAAACCGATGCCAGAATCAACTCTGCTTTAGAATCACAGAATTTTATGGGTTGGAATGGACCTTACAGATTATCTAGTCCCAACCCCCTGCCATGGGCAGGGACACCTCCTCACTAAACCAGGATGCTCAAGGCCTCATCCAGCCTGGCTTTGAGCACCTCCAAGGTTGGGGCATTCACTGCTTCCCTGGAAGTAGTGAAGAAGAATCTAAGCCCTTGACAGTAAGGGAAAACAGGCAAGCCAAGCCCAACCCAATAAAAACACCCAGCCCCAGCAGGACAGAGATGGGTGAAATCCGGGCACCTGACTCCTGAAAATCTTCCAAGTTTCTCCACCTATTGTAACGACTTGTTTCTGAACTCCGCACCTGGGCGCAACCCACACTATCTTGTTGGCAATGGTCACATCCAGCCCTAACCACATAGTTCAGCCGCTGAGGAGGAGGAGGAGGAGCGAAGCACGTGCTCAGCATTGTTTTTATTGCCGAGTAAGGTGCAGCCGGAGCGCAGCGGCCGTTCCAAAACAACACAAACCCACTGAAAACAAGCCGCGCGGGGCCGTCTGT